CATGGAGCCTGCTCGAATTTTATGGCTTCATAGACCTTCTTGATTACTAAGCTCTGGCTAACATAATACTGGAGATTTCTATAATGAACTACATATTCATTCTTATCAAATAGGTTAGGGATGAGCTTATCCGTGGGTGTATATCGTTGTCCTGAGTGTGCTATTATTTCCTGCTGCTTTTTACTAAGCCATTCCTTCTTAACCTTCATTTGTTCTGGTGCAAGGGGTAATCTGTGTGTTGTGAATGGAGGGCTTGAGGGTACTCTAGTTTGACTTTAAGGATATATCCCTCAGAAGAATCATCTGGTATTTTATTACTTTCTATTTACCTTTGAATGTTAGATAACTCGTTTTCCTCTTTTACCCAGTGGAAGTTACCTATAGGTAAGTATTGCAACATGGCCCATCCATATAGGTTATTTGCATCTAAGTATAGGATAGATGACTTGGGCTTATCTGCGGTCCATTTACCTTCTCCCATACCTGGATTATTTGCACGAGCATATCGTTTACTTACCATAGAGATTCCACCACGTAATCCTTGTTCTACTATCATGTACATGTCCTGATCAGTTATAAGATCCAATCTTTGCCCTGTCATGAAGAATAGTGCATCCTATGCGAAGCCTGGTGTTGAATAGTACCAGAGAGGATCTAACCCATATTTTTTCAAGGCCATTTCTCAGAAATTCTGAAATATATCGGCTAGTAGTAGGACGTCAGTTTTGAGATAAATGTCATGATAATCTTGCATTGTTTTACATCCTGCTTTTTCCCATACATACTGTGCATATTCGTATTCTTTATCACTAATGTGGGTTTCATTAAGTTTGCTATAGAATGCTCATTTAGGTGGTAAACTAGTTTTCTCTAACTTTTTCCAGTCATCCATATATTCATACGGGTAGACACTTTTCTTAAGATAAATCTCGAGTAATTCAGGTGGTATTTGACTTCGTGTTATCTTAAAGTTTTTGGGATGTGCAAAGCATCTACCTGCATCAATTCGCCATAAGTGTTGTGGATTACTACATTCTTGTGCTCTACATTTTTCTGCACCTAGGTTGGATGCTAATTTGTCGAGACTTGATTTCATGAATTGTAAGCTGTCTATAAATCGGAGGGAACCTAACTTGAATGCCATATACTTTTCCATGTTATAAGGGATAGGATCAATATCATCCTCACATTCCATTGCACCAATTCCTTGCATAATTATGTGTCCATCATATCCTGATAAATTGTGAAAGATTACTGGGATATGCATTTCACGAGGTTTTATGGATAAGTCAAGATTACATCCTCTATGTGCTGCACCTCGATACCTTCCTGTAATATGGCAGTGGTCTCTTACTTTATTTCCATCTAAGGGGTTACGACATATCCAGCAGTTTATTGCATTATCATAACTTGCTTGCTCTTGGGTTGTTAACGGCATCATTTCCATTGGGTTTCTGAATTCATTACGGATTGCTTCAGCCTCATTTAGCATTTCGATTACAAATTTTTGTGCTGCATTTTCTCCTGTAAATATCTTCTGTGATTCACTTACACCATCATATCTTACCTTAATATACGAGTATGAGCAGGGGATTTGCTCTTGTACTTTCTTGGTTTTCTTATCTTTGTCTTCATCTGTGGGTGGTATGTCCATTACTAGGGCTTCAAAGTCTGCAACAAAGTAATATGGGACTTGCATGCGGCGTTTCCAGTTCTTGAATTCATATATATCATTTCCTTTCTTTACTGATGGCATTCGGTCTGCTTGTGGGGTTTTCTTTAATCCTCGACATATTGCTACATGTTTGTCATGGATTTCTTGTTGATGTGTGAAGTGGGAGATACACCATCGGCAGACAAATGTTGCATGTCCATCTTTTGTACGTTTATTTACTAAACGGCTCATATTCTTAATCCAGCAATAGTGCTGCTTTTCCCCGTTACTGATAAGTACTAAATCTATTATTTTACGGCCCTCTGCATCATCCCTATCGGTAACATATATTGGACATAGGCGGTGGTCACGCCATTCACAGATGCAGAGGGCAATAGTTGGGTTCTGTCGCTCAAATCTTCTTAGAATTACCTCATCAGCTTGTACTGGAAATTCGATACCTTCAAAGTTTAACTCATTTACATACTCCTTATACTTGGAAATTCTTTCTGCATTCTTTTCTACTGGATGTAATGCTGCTAGGATTGCCCACTGGAAGCATTTGTCATCATCATTAGCTGGATTTACTACTCCCTTTTTCGTGGCAAGATCTTTTGGGAGTGGTATATGTCCTGCTCCTGTGGGTGGTTGGAATTGCGAGATTTCTATAAATATTTTTTCTACACGATAGAATTCCCAACCTGATCCGTAATTTACATAGTCTTCTACTTTCTGCATGATTCTTGCTAATGCAAAGTTAAATGTACCATTAATATCTGTTGATGGTAGGATTGGCATATTGCGAGTTTTAAATGGTATGTTATATCTGTAGATATACTCTACTCCATCATCTTCACTAAAGTTACCATCTCCGAATAATCCCTCAAGGTAAGAATCTAAACGTCTTATTGTGGCAAATATTCCAATTCTTACTTTTATTGATCCCAATCGATTTCTTTCATCCTGAAGAATATTCTGGATTGTTTGACTGTGTGCTGTAAGAAATGAAGCATAGTCATGCTCTCCAGGTGTTCCTATAGCAATATCAGCCGTAAAGTTTGAGTCTGTTAACTCCTTTCCTATACGTACCTGATCACGACGTTCAAAGACTACCTCATAATGTGGGTCTGGATCAATTTGCATCATGCGGGTTATCTCTTCATTGGTTACCGCCGCTTGTGCTTCACGGATTTGGCGGATCTCATCCTCATATTCCTGCAATTTTGCATTTGAGCGGGGATATGGGATGGACTTGACAGGTACCTGCTTGAGTTCAGCTAGAACTGATCGGGTGACTTGTCTGTGTTGGGCACTTCTTGCTTGATGTGTTGACATCTTGTAAACTTTTTATACTCCTCTTTTATTCAATTACATTTTTTCTGAAAATAAAATTAATTGTTCGCCTACCCTATGAGGGTAAAAAAAGAGGGAGACAGATTAGTACTGTCTTCCTAAACTATTCCTCACCATCTGAGTCATCGTCATCCGAGTCACCGAACACATCCTCGTCCCGATGTATTCTCTATCCTTAAGTAACTTATAGTTGTAAGTTACAACGGCGAATAGCTTCTTTTACTATAATATGCTCTACTGCGGCATTTGTTCTCTCTTTACAAGCCTTTTGATATGCCTCCCATTCAAGTTCACGGAGGAAGCCCTCCTCCTCCAATGATTGGCCAAGAGCATCATTTGCTTTTTCCTTCTTTTCTACGGCCTTGTCGTATGCCTCCTCGGCTTCTTTATGCCGCTTCCAGAGTATTCGTTCAGCTTCAGCTCTCCAGATTGGGCTGACTTCTAGAAGATGTGTCCCGAAATTTCTACTTGGAATGTATTCCAGGATATGGCCCACAAGTTCAGGGATTACTGATACTGCGTACGGGGTTTGGTGGCTTTTTAGGATCTCCCTATTGATAGCCATAAGATCAGAGACTGTGCAGCCGAAGATTGTTGCTAACTTTTCTGCGGTATATACCATGTTATGTACTATTTATCTGTATAGTTACTTGGTACCAACCTTTTATTCAATTACATTTTTTCTCGGTATAAGGGTAATTGCTTGCCTTGCTATTCCGCTCTATTGACTCCATGGCTGGTTTCCTGGATGGGTTAATATTTCCTTACCTTTTTTGGCTCCGTTGGCTTTGAAATCCTATTTCTTGTTCGGTTGGGGGTAAGTAGGTGAAAATATTAATAAACGATTTAGATTATGAAATAAGTAGGATATAAGTGAATTAGATTATGAGATAAGTAGGATATAAGTAGGTAAAAATATAAAAAAGGTGATATAAGTAGGTGAAAAATTTAAAAAGTTGACCAGGATTGGACCCACAGCCGGTGGGAGAGCAACGGGTATAGCAAAAAAAAGGTTGTCAGGATTGGACCCACAGCCGGTGGGAGAGCAACAAGGGGATAGCAAGAAAAAGGTAACCAGGATTGGACTCCGAGGAAAGTGAGCCAGAACTGGCATTTATATACTACTGGGATGGGCGTTAATTAACCATAGTTAATTAACCATAGTTAATTAACCGTTAATTATGCTACTTATAATTAGTTTAAAATGGTTAATTAACTGTTACTTTAAATCAACCAATAAAAATGCAGAATTTAAATCATGTGATTTTAATTATAATTTGATAATTATTGTATTTTATAATTTATATCTTGTATAACTTGATAATCTTTTTTTTCTTTTTCTTTATTACATTTTTTTTTACATAATTTTTAAAAAAAATTCTTGCAATTATGGAAAAAAAGAAAGGAAAAGTTTGGAAGCATTGGAAAATTACTGAAACAGAAAGTAATAATAAAAAACATCCTTCTGTAACTTGTAATTATTGCTCCAAAACTTTTGAAGATAATGAAAATACTAATTGAAAGTAATTATAATCATAGTGATAGTGATAATAGTACTATACTTGAACTTGATTTTATTTTATTATTTATAAAAAATTAATATATTAGTTAGGCCGGACCAATTAAAATGTTTGTTTAACATAACCCCCCCTTCTCTCATTTTCCAAAAACGGTTCTTGAATAACAACACTATATATTGTCTATATTAACGAATGATTTAATCAATTACACAAAAGAATATATTTAAGTTTTAGTGTTACATTAATTTATATAAAACATGGAAAATTTCATGTTTCTTTCTCCCCTTTTGCGAATTACTATCAAAACTTTATTGATATATGCTCAACCATAGAAAAATACTGTGTGTCAAAATAAAATTAAGTTTAAATATGTTTGATTATGGACAAATGCTGCGTGTCAAATTGAATAAATATTATAAATATTGTAATATTTTTAAGAGATAATTTTGATACATTATTAAATTTTTTCAAACATGGTCCATTTTTTTGTTAGCGTTGACGAAGGGCAAAAAAATATAATCAGTCAACAAGTTATTAAAATTGTTGAAGAAATATGTACATTTAGTGAAATATATGAAGCAATTACTGAAGGCGTATTTGGTGTATGTAATGTAAGGGTTTACGTTGGTAAAGGGGATGGCAAGTGGAATAATCTAAGAGAAGGATTGTATGATGATATATCTTTAATGTCAGAGCTAGAATTAAAGTATATACGTTTTATTGTACATACTGAAGAAAATAATATAGTACAACAAAATCAACAATTTGAAAGAAATGCATTTGACATTATGATGGAGCATTCCCATAAGCCATACTTTCCATCAATTAAAAGAGAAGATACTCAACGAGATGTTTTATACAATGATGTCATAGCATTATTAAAAGAAAACCAAAAAAATGGTTGGAGAGTAGATTAGTAGAAAATTGCGAAAATATTTATCAAGCAACTTGTAGATCTTCTTTGGTATATTGATCCGCATCATAACACACTTGCTGCTTGTTCACTATATCTTCCAAATATTTTCAAAGAATTAAGTCAATATCAATGTGACAGCAATTATAATAAATTTTATTATACTTCACATCATAAAAAAGAGAGTCTTAAAAGAGAAAAACTTAAGCAATTAGCAGAATCATTGGAGCTCTCAATTGGTTAACCATGGGCGAGTGAAGCAAAATGGACTGATTTTATTTTAGAAGTATTTGAATTAGCAAATATGATCAACCAATATGCGAAGTATTTACAAAGAGTTAATAATAAAGTAAATGTTCGTCATACTAGTAATATGGCAGTACGAAATGTTAGTCAAGATCTGCAAGTATATACCGTTGAAAGATGCTCAGAAATCGATACTAAATATCAAGAATTATCATATTTTTTATCTAACAAAAACAATTACGAATTTTTTAATCTTGAGGAATATATTCCATCTAATCCAATGCAAAGATATTGTTATATTCAAAATTTGCAACTTGACTTTCCTGTCACTATTTACCGGTATCACCAGGGCAATTATCTAGGTACTCTTAATTATATATGGAAAGCTCCATTATTAGCAGATCAAAGATTAGAAACAGAAAATGCACGAGTAATATCAATAATTCAAGAAAGCTTGCCAAAGTATTTTACTCACCAAATGAGAAAAAATGTATTAAATAGGTATAGAATAATGACTTTATGAATATTTTATTTAATCATACATATAATAAATTAATAAATTATTTGCTTTAAAAAGTACTCTCTTATTAAAAAGGTCACTCCAGTTATGCTTCGAACATTGTATTATGATTTAACTGGTGATGCTTCCACAACATCGAATCCTATTTGCAAAGAGATTGAAGATCGATTACGATTGATGCTTATGCTTGAAGATCCGTCAATAATTATTGATTTACAAGTTAATAGTGGTTTCAAAGGCAAGGAATTTGACATCTTTTGGAATGAAATGGAAGCCTATTTTAATGAGGTAATTTTTGATTAACATATTATTATTATCAAATTGTTTCATTCAATTTAATTTTTTATTTGAATTATCAATATAGAATATGCCAGCAGTTGATGATTGATGACACGAACTAACTTTATATATGCCATTAGCTATTTCAATTCGTGATCTGTGTGGAACTATAGTAAAATGATTGGAAGCCAAATATAATTCACCATTACCTACAAATATCGCACTTCCATGTGAAGAATGGATCTGTCTTCAATTTTGGCCAACCAATCCAACTACAGCAGCGGCAATACATTATACTGGCCGATTTAATATTAAATATCAAGTCCAAGCTAGACAATTACGCAAAGATCATCCAGATGCACATTATTGTGCTTGTTTATTTCAGTATCTACGTGAATTTGCTATTCTTTATCGCAGTCATGTTTGTTTTATTGCTGCAGATGATAAACATAAAATACTGATCGGAGAAGGTGTACCTACATCAACTGGTGTACGTAATAAGAAAAATATAGTTAGTACAAATACAGTTCTTGTAGCGAGTGATCATGATTTTACCAAACTATCTCTTACCCCTTCTGTAACTTTTTTTATTGATATTCCTGAATCAATTGAACATTCCTTTTATAATGGTAAAGTATTTGTTTCATATAAGGATACACTTTTTCAACCTAGTACCGCTATTAGACATTCAACTGAATTTTACAATGCAATACAAAGTTATTATGAACCGAACATACCTCCCATTCTTTGTCTTTACACAGATGGTGGTCCAGACTATCGAACAACTTTTGGTTCAGTACAAATATCCCTTCTTTGTCTATTCCTTCGTGGTAACTTTGATATTCTTATTGCATTGCAAACTGCACCTTACCACAGTTGGGCAAATCCAGCTGAACGAATTATGTCAATAATTAATTTGGGTCTTCAGGGTGTTGCAATTATGCGAGATGAGATGAGTTCATATTTAGAGAAAATTTTTGAAAAGGCTGATACATTAGAACAAATTCGAGAGGCCGCAAAAAAAAACCAAGACCTTAAAACTGAACTGGAAAATTGCATTTGCAATGTTCAACAATTATTATGTGCACGAACTGAACGACTGGTTTGCATGATATACCTTTTGAAACCAAAAATCCCGCTGATGAAAAAACTATCAAAGAATTATTTGAGGTAAATTTGTATGTTAATAAAATAATAATGATATTAATTATATATATTTTTTGCAGATAATTCTTTCTATTGATAAAACGTTGAAGATTTCTGATACAACTATGGATATTCTTTCAAAAAAAACTAATCTTCAGGAATTTATGCGAACACATTGTCAAATTCGTCATTACAGTTTTCAGGTATTATTAATGGTTAAGAATTTTACGTCACAATTATCACATTGATTGTACCAAATGATGATCATTGCCTATTAATTTTTCATAGATCAAGAAATGCGAAAATGCGGATTGCAATGTATGTGATACAATTCGCCTTCCACAAGATATTTTTAACGGCATTAGCTTTCTTCCAGATCCAGTACTTGCACAATGTAAGATTTTATTTTATTTATAACCTTTTAGTATCACAAAAGTTTTATATTCTTTATTTACATACACTTAATACTTAATAGTAGACAATGATCGTTATATTGATTTTAAGAGTATATATGGTACAGAAACAACAGAACAATATCATCCCACACTAATAGCGGCTATGTTAAATTCTGAACGGGCACCATCTACTATCTTTGTAAATACAAAAGTTCACAATATTATCCAATGCTTTTAATGTGGAAAATTTCGATGTCTCTATAGTGAAAAAGCATTGACCAACACACAGCAGTCTATATTTAAATGTATTGTTGATGATTGGGATTATAGCTGTGGATCTTCTTTAGTGCCTGAAAGTCATGAACTTTACAATGTTTTATTTGTACGTGAAAAAATTTCATGTGAGTCACCAATTGAGTTATCTTATTATTCATCACGTAAAAATAATCCACTTGTATGTTATTGGTGTGGATGTGATCAAGAACTATTAGAATTTCCAACATATATGACATCAAAGTACAAGTTTGTATTTCCCTTGTGTAGTATATGCCAAAGTAAAGGAAAGGATTTTTTTGCACGAATTGAAATTAAAACTAATACAAAAGGTCAAAAAAGAAAGAGAAATACTAATAGTTAATTTTCTTCATTCCAGAAGTTAAATTTGTATCAAAGTTTATCATTTTAATAAATTTATATTTCATAATATATGGTACATCGTGTTTTTTACTATTAGATATGGAAATATCACGTGATTGTTCAACTCAACTTATTGTTATTAATATCCTCTCCCCCCCCTCATTCTCATGACTTCATATGTTATGTTAAACAAATATTTTAATTGGTCCGGCCTTAACTATAGGTTAATTAACTGTTAATTGACTGTTAATTAACCAGTTAATTAAATAAATTTATAATTAACCATTATTTTCCCATTCCTAGATCTGGTCCTACAAGTTCTGGGACTGACCGGTCCAGGACTGAGTAGGACTGGTAGGACTGATGACCATCCTTATATTAAGGTGATGAAATAAAAAATTAATTTTATCCTAGGAATCAGGTTTTTAGAGCAAGGTTGATAGAACATCTTAAGTGTATGTTACTATAGTAGATCTCAAATTCAGGTTAAAACTTATATAGAAACTAGTTGGTTAGTATTCGTTAGTTTAGAATCAGGTATTTGCAGCTATTATTATAAAATTTTGTATATTTGTTTTGTTCGTTACAAATTTAATCACTAATAAAAAATTAAAAAAATTAAAATTATAATTAAAATTAAAGATTTATTACTGCAAAGTGTTCACCAAGCATCTATAAAATTATACCAGAGAAATGGCTATTCTAATTCTAGTAATTTATCACCTTTAAGTATAAATAAGATACCATTAGATTGCAAAACTAAGAAAGTAATTTTCTGATAGCCAGATATATTAATTATTTAGTTTTATTTTATTTTACCTATTATCTATTTAATTATAATATTAATATATATTTATCAGGTATTTATTAATTGGTAATTTATGTTAATACAACCAGTTACTAAGTTATATAAAAAATACTTATTACATAAGCCTGATAAAACAGTTACTTAGCATAATGTGACCTTATAACTGTAGCACTGTCATGCCTTACATGTATTTGCAATAAGAATATGTCCAATAAAAAGTCATCATATGGAAATTGTACAATTTTTGTTTAGTTTTTGTAATTATTATCTTATTTTCATTCAGTATTCATATAGTTGAATCAAATTTTATTTTTTTGTAAAATTTAAATGTACAATTATTATAAGATTTATTACATTTAATAAACAGAAATTATACAATTTTTATATTTTAAATTTGTAATTATTATTTATTATATTTATTTAAATAAAATTTGTACAATTTTTTTAATTTTTTAAATTCATATGAAACTTATAAATTTGTACTAATTTGTAGTATAAAACTGTAATTAATTATTTTTCGCTTTTACTATTATTTTACTTTTTGTTAACTTTTGTTGTCCAGAGCGAAGCGAAGGACAATATATGTCTACGCACTATGAAAAAAAAATCGATCACGTGAATTTCTCTGTCCGCCACGTGATCACCCAATGAAATCACAAATTTTAGTTTTTCGCTCCGGACTTACAACGGTTCCCGTTCCCTAGTATAGTTGAAAAATAATTATATTGATCTTCAGTAAGGTTGCTTGCCGAAACCTAGGGGTTTAGGCAAGATGGCGTTTCGCCGAAAAGCGAAATTCTGCTGAAACTATATTAAAGTTATATTAAAAAACTGGCAAAACTTTAGAGAATGGCGAAACTGCTGAAACTTATTATAAATGCCGAAACTGCCAAAACTCTGCCAAAACTATAATAAATCTATAGTAAAATTTTAACGAAACTAATCGTAGGATTTTGAAAAGGTTTAGACAAGCAACCTTAATCTTCAGACTACTTTTACAATAATTTTCAGTTATAAAATTTTTATGTTATAAAAATATGTATCACGTATATGTCAATATATAATATAATTTGCAATTTAATGACTTCAATCAACTTTTAAACTTTTTTTTAAAAAAACTTTTTTTTGCTTTTTTTTTACATTCTTTCCTTTTCCTTTAATTTGTTCACCTTTTCACTTCTCTTTGTATATTCCTTCATTTATTCCTTATTCTTTCCTTTTCTTTTTCTCCCTTTTTTCTTTACTTTTACATTTTCTTCTTTTTTTTTTCTCTTCTCCCACTTTTCTTGCACTTTTTGTTGAAGAAACTTTAAATATTTTTCTTTTTAGATGCAAATTTCCAATAAGTTCATCTTTTTTTTAATTGTTTAATTTTAATGAACAATTTCTAATAGTTGTTTTTCTTACTTTTTTTTAGACTTTGAATATTTGAATATATGGAAATATGGTTAGAAATTTTTTTTTTAAATTTTAATTATCTATTTTAACAATTTTTTCTTTTTTTTTTTAAATGCTTTTTACAATCTTCTTGAATATAAAATTTTGGTAAGTTTGTTATTTTTTTCTTATTTAATTATTTTTATTTTACAAACAATTTCTAATAATTTATTTTTTTAATTTTTTTTAGACAACTTTATTCTTTGATTATTTTGAAACATGAAAATTTTTTTTTTCCTTATTTATTTTAATGAAATTTTTTCTAACATTTCAATTTTTTTTTCTTAAATAGTTCTTTCGGTCTTTTTAGATATAAAATTTTAGTAAGTTATTTAAATTTTTTTTTCTAATTGTTTTTGTTTTAATAAATATTTTCTAACAGTTCATTTACTTTCTTCATCTAAGTATTTCTCTAAAAAAATTAGAAGTGTCTATGCAGTGTCTATGCTGCTATATATTTCAACAAAATGTATATTAATATTTTGATTTATCTTTTTTTGAATGATTGAGTCTTTAGATACATAATAATTCGGTAGAATAGAGTTTTTTTTGAATTATTTTTTGATGAAATATTTATTTAACGAAATATTTCCTAATACTTTAATTTTTCTTCTTTTAAATAGTTCTTCAGCTTTTTAGATAAAAACTTTAGTGAACGTATTATTTTCTTTTAAAAATGATAGTTACTTATTTCTTTTTCTTTTTTAGGCAGCTTTTTGGTCATCTAAACATGATATTTTATAAATTTTCAAATTTTTTCTTTAATATTAACAAACAAATATTAATAGTTTTTTTTTTTATAGATATTTCTTCAAATCTCTTTAGATGCTATTATAGTAAGTTTTTTTTTCATCTTAATTTATTTATTATGATAAAATGTATATTGATATTTCAAATTCTATCTTTTTTTTTTTTAAACAGGTCTAGATGAAAATCAGAACTATATTTTTTTTTTAAATTTAATTCTTTTAGTAAAATTTTGATGAAATAATTTTTTTTAACAAAACATTTTATTAATATTTCACTTTTTATTTTTTTTTTAAATACAAATGAAATATACAAATACCATTTCTTGACTTAAAAATATCGAAGGGTGCCATAATTTAAAAAATGGGAGATATATTCACAGTAATATATAAAAACAATTTGAAGTTGACTTTTACATTTATAAAAACTATAATTCTAAACCAAGTGGCTAAAGACAAACCAAAAATTCTCAGCAAACTAAAGATATTCTATAGATCAATAATAAGTTTTTGACAAGTATAATAAAATACATAATATCATCCAATTTTGAAAGAGGCCTAATAGCTTATTTTATGATTAAAAATTTCTTAAGCAGAAAATTTATTGTAATAAGACCATATCTTATTCTGCTACTTTAAATCCATATATTGTATAATTTATCATTTTTTTTAACTTAATTTTTTTTATATTCCATTCTACCTTATATTATTTTTAATTTTTTTTACTAATTTAGATTATTAAATAAAGACATCAATCCTTATAAATTTTTTACAAATTTTAATAGAATGTATTTAATATATACACAGTAATTTGTATATGAATAATGAATCAAATATGTAAAAATAATATACAAATTTATTTTTATTACATAAAAACATTGCAAGTTTATGATGAATTTACTTTGAATTCTATATATAACATTATAAGTTTACTACAAATTGTTTATAAATACTGTACAAATGGATACTCATAATCATATTAAATTTATTAAATTTGTAACTTACATTTTTTTTATACAAAAAATCAATATTAACTTTTTACTGGAATGATCAGTGAAATTTGCTAAGCTTTACTTAATAAATTCTATCAATTATAATGCTTATTGCAAATATAACAGTTACTTGATACTTCATGCTGAGTAACTATTAAATATATGTTATTATACATATTAATACAAATATTGACAGTTTTTTAAATTATAATAATAATATAATAAACTATTACAAAATAATAATTATTAAGCATTATACAATAATTGTTTTTTTCTCTTAATATAATTATTTTAATATATATAATAATAAAATTTGTTTAAATATAATATATTACATAAATATTATACTAAATATAATATTATATTAACTATATTATTTTATTTACATATACATTACCAAATATAATCATAATATTTTTATCTATACATTTAAACAAAACTTTTAATCCTTAACATTAAGCAAATTTTGCTGATCAATTATATAAATTATCATATTTTTGTCTAATAGTGAAATAAAAATCAACCAATATACTAATTAAGATAAAGGATTAGTTAATTAAACTAATCAATTATAATTTGTATGGTAAAAAAATTCTGAATAATATATATAAATCAAGATAAAAAATTCAAAATTTATTAAGATCAATAAGCAAATATTTTTTATGTCTGCTAAGCAAACTTTTATCTAACCCATAAATTTTTTACACTGTTAAGCAACTTATTTTATAACATATATATATATATATAATTTTTTTATAAAATATGTATATAAAAAAAAAACTAAAAAAAACAAAAATTTTTGAAATAATGCATGGATAAAGCTATTATTATTTTTTTGTAATATCACAACTATAAATATTTTTTATAAATATTTTTGTATATCTATTCTGTGATTTCAAAGCATAAAAATCTTCTTCAGTAAAGTTGTTTAGTAGATTTGAATTTATTTATATATAAAATTTTATTATAATTAAATAGATATTTATGAATTTATTCATATTTTTTGTAATGCAGAATTTTTATTTTTAAAATTTACTGTAAAATTTATCAAAAAAAATATTTTTAAAAATTTTTTAAGTAAATTAAAATAACTTTTATTGATTATTACAAAAATTATAATGTAAAATTATAAAAGAAAAAATTTATTTATCGCATGTGCGAAAAAAATTATTTATCACACTTATTATCACTGCTGATCAAAAACTAGGCAAACGTGGCATAGTAGCCTTTATCTTTATTAAAATTATTCGAACTTTTACAATTTACAAAAATAAAAAGAAAGATATAAAAATAAGCTGATCAAAAACCAATATATCGGGTAGCAGATATGTATTAGATATATACCCGATATGTGTATTGTGTAGTATTAATGCAGAAAATTGGGTACCCGATATATGTAAGATATATGTAAATATATATATCGTCTACATATCATTTACATATCATATACATATCAGGTACCAATATGTAGACGATATATATATTTACATATATTTTACACATATCAGGTACCCCATTTTCTGCATTAATACTACACATATCAGGTACATAACTGATACATATCTGCTACCTGATATATTGGTTTTTGACTAGTGTATATCACGTGATATGTTGTTATATTATTATTTACATTGCATTTATTATATTTTATTACATATTATATTACTATATATTATAACCAAATAAAATGAAAAAGATATTAAAGATTTATACATTTTTTTTACCCTTTAACTACTTTTTTTATTAGGATATTTAGGAGTATAATGTCTAGTTTTATGACATAAACCACATCTACGCCTACTTATATTATCAGTCACTGGACATTTCCAGAAACAGGGATGTCAAATGGATTTACTAATTAAATATGCAGATTGTTGATCACTTTTTTTACTATGATTTATTAGTAAATATTCAAAATTCTGGTTTTTTCGTCACATGTGAACTTTAATTTTTATTCAATAAATATGTGTAAAAAATTTTTTTTCTTACTCTCTAAGTTTTAACTGACATGTCGATATAATTTTCTAAGAGTTGTTTATTAATAACAAGTTAGAAGAATCTCTACTTAAAGTTAGCTATTTTTTCGTTAAAATACTACAAAATTACAAACATATAGAATATTTTTCAAACTATAAAAGCCAATTTAGCCTTCAAAATTATACTACTTCTATTTAAGATCTCATTTTTAAATGAAATTAATATTATTTTAATTGATGGCTGTCATATAGTTCACCCTTTCCATAGTGAATTTTTATATAGTGAATAACGCTATAATGAAGAAAAGTTCAGGTACAGATTTTTTTTATATATAATAAATTGACCCTCAGTATAGTGAATTTTTCACTATAATGAATTTTAATCTCCAGCCCATAGGATTTACTATAGTGAGGGTGAATTGTATAAATCTGATGTGGAAATGGATAATAGAAAAAAGTTGTTAATTAGTGAATATTATTCTGAAACATGTAATTAGAAATTTATTTAAATTATTGATATTTTTTTAATAAAATTATATAAAAAAGTTGAATGTGAAGTTTAGAAGTATCTGTAAACTAAACATTTTTTGATTCTGACGCTTACTGTATAATAAGAAATTTACCTTCTCGGCTATTTATCAATAACGCACATATAAACTTTCAACCAAATTTTACAACAATAAAACTATACTAATAGTTGGTTCGTCACATAAAAATCTTTTTGAAAGAACTAATATTGGCAGAAGGATCTCAGTTTAAAGGTCAACAAGTCATAGAAAAACCTTATATAGTGAAATATTTAAGGAAGTGAAGTATTTTGATAAAATTAATGTCATTTGAAAGTTCATATATGATACTTTTAATGTATTATAAAAAAAGTTATATTTTGTTAAATCTTTGTCCCGTTTGAACTAAATGAAGATAGGCTAATTTATGTAGTACAAAATTTTTAATTAGTGATTGGCGCTGCGCTGGAAATGTCCAGTGACTGTTATTACTATTATCATTCATGTTTTCAATATCTATTTCATATACATTTTCTTTTTGATTCTTACTACTATTTGCTTTGTTTTTTCCCTCATCATAAGCTTTAAATCTTTTACCAGCGGGTCTACCTTTACCTTGACGTTTTATTGGATCTTTAATATTATTTATATCATAAACTTGTCCATCAGATAATTTCATTTCATTACTTAAATTTATATTTTCATTAAGAATATTTCTTCCTTCTAATTCAGATTGTGCTTTGGCATTCAATTTTGCTTCCTTTTTAGAAATATATGCTAAAAGAATATCATCCAGATTATTTTGATCATTATCATCTAATGAATAATTTAAAGCTTACTTAAAATGTCCTATAAGCTGACCATATTCAATTTTTTTTTGCATATAATGTCGAACCTAAATTTCCTGAATGTTGTCATGATGTTTAAGAATAAAATCAGCTGGTTGATAATAATCTAATTGGTTTGAAGTTTTTGAAGACACTCCAATAAATGGTTCATTGGAAATAGAATCTATACAGTTCCAATAATCATCTTGAAGCCATTTCATTGGTATTAACATTAAATGAAATAAAGCAGCTGAATTTTCAATCATCAATTTGAAGTAATGACGACACACAATTCCATGAAATACTAATAATAAGCATGTGCACAAATGAGTTTCATCATTAAGAATGACAATATGTTGATATAAAGTTAAAAATATATAAGAAACAATTTTCCATACTTCTTTTATTAATTCTTTTGACACTGAATTTAATAATGACTTCAAATATGTCTGCCGATAGTCATAATAATCTTCAACATTTTCAACTTCTTTCAAATAACATTCAGAATGACCAACATTTACAGTATCTTCACCTTGATCATTATCGTTCATAAGCAGTTTAATCCTAAAAATAAAACAATTGAAATTAATATTTTCAATTCTAAATCTAATTAACAATCTTAACTCTAATCCTAACCCTAACTAATTCTAACTAATCCTAACTCTAATCCTAAACTAACCCTAATTCCTGTTTATACTTACCAATTGGTTTTCAATGAATTCAAAAATATCTTCAAATCTTCAATGGATTGTTTTTCACATCTATATAGTACTGATTCACACATTTGTTTTTGTATTTCATTGACAATTCGTGATGAAAAATATTTCTGTATGGTTCTATTATAATACTAATAAAGAAACTATCAATAACAAATGATTGATGATATATTGTTAATTTATATTTTTATGCTAAAAAGTCTTTATTCATTTCTTTTTTCTGCATTCTAGAATCAAAGGCTTCAACTACATCAGCCATAGTAGAACTAGAAGAAATAGCTTTATGAATAATTGCATTAATTAATTCAACTCATTGTATTGATTGCATATCAGCTGTAAATTTTCAACTTATGAATGCACATGCCTAAGAATGATATGTTGAGTAAATTGGATTATTCAAATATTCATTAACAGTAAGATAATTTTTCAATAAAGCTTGAAATCTTTGCTCAAAAATATTTTCACATAAAGAATTATGTATACACCAAAAATCACGAACAAACTGCTTAAAATTTATAGAACCCATATGGGCTGATTTGTCTTATTATTTGACTTAAGGTAAAGGTTCACATTTAAGAACCTATTTATAGCATGGTAGTCCATAAATACAATTAGTTGACTAACGTATACCAACTAGCATAGCGGACATCCCTATTTTATCACTGATCATTTGTCGATCATTTGCTGATCATTTATTCAATTATCACATAATATAATACCGTTGCTAAAAAAATTTACATAATAATATATGCTCAAATTTCACAAATAACTTAAATTTAGTTCTAATTTATTGTATATTAAATTTCATTTGAAACTTTTTAGCTTTTATTATTATTTGGTATATATTCATTCATTTTACGAAATTATTCACTAAATATGTTACTAATAAAACACCTGCATTATGAATCAGATCACTGCATTATTTTTTTATAGATTCTACATAATATAAAGAATATTTGTGCAAAGTTTTGAATTTCGCCCATGCATATTCATCTCCGCACATCAAATTTTGTCTGATGATCGGCAAAAATTATGAATGATCACATATAAATAATGTGTTATAAAAATATTAAAAAATTATGCCAATAATTATATAATTAAAATTATATAATAATTCAATGCTTAGCTTATATTTCCATAATTTTTTGCCACATTATTTTGAAAATATTTGTAGCTTTTGCAATAAATTTTAAAATTGGAATTATGTGATCGGCAAATGATCGGCAAGGTGATATAAGCATGTCCGCCATGCTATACCAACTAACTGGTATGTGCAACCTGACCAAATATCACTACAACTGCCATTTTAGTTTGACCTCAGAATAGTCCTTATCCATCAACGGAATACTAACTGGCTAGTCATAACCCCCTAGAGGTAAGACAAGCTTGAATTTATATGCCACCCTGGCAGTCTTAGTAATGGAGAACTTTCAGTGCAGGTGTAATGGCAATCATCTAGAAACCCTTCCGTACCAACATTCACACTTCAGAACTGAATTAAGGCTCATTCAAGGCCACTACAGCCCCACGATTCCTTAGCCCCAAGGTACAGTTGTAAATCCCCTAAAGGTATAGTAGTGACCACTGAGACAGAGAGAACATGAGATAGTATAGACTCGCTTATTTGGGATTATTTCCAGTGATGCCTTACCATCCAAGCTGCCACCTGGTACCCGTCTAGTGGGGAGTTGAACCCCATACCTCACCTAGTACACCTGTCTGTTCAGGAATATTCTAGTTGGCCTAAACCTATTAGAAGGTAAACTACCACAAAGTCATTGCACCCAGGATTTTACCATCTATAATAACCATCTAGCCACATTGGACTCCAAGCGGTATCATTTGAGTGACCACCTGGATAGGAAATTACCACCAAGGTATACAAGCAGTGACCTTACGGACAGGACTCTGAACATCCCAATGACCTCATAGGGAACGTTAGAAGGACACCATGACCCTTTGTTGAAATGTGCAGCCTGACCGTACACACTAATTTACCATGGTGCAGTCCAACTACCTAATCCCTGTATCTTCACACTATTGGTAGTAGCGTTCGCAGTAAAATTCTTTTTATTTCCGTGATTATGGGAATCAAACCTGCGACCTCACCATACTCAGGTTTAATTAGGGTCTTAGTAACCAACTACTAAGATAGGGTGATTAACCCTATATATATGGGCTGATTTGTCTACTCTGCATTAAAAAGAGTTATTGAATTGATTTTCACAATTTTCATTACTCAAAATTGTTTTGTAATACCAAAAAATCATCTGATTGATAATCACTTGACTAAATAATAAGTTGAACAAAAATTTACATTTGCGAAACTTAAATCATTAAATGTAAAAGAGATGTAAAAAAATCCATTTCACTAATAAAAAACCCATTTCTCATATATATGAAATTTTCAACATATATTATTAAAAAGTAAGTATATTTTAATAAAATATAAAGTAAAATAAAAATTTATATAGTCTTAGTAGCTATAAATGTTTATAAAAGTATAATAAAAATATCATATAAAAGATCATCAGGAAGTCACAGGAAAAATGTTCATCAAATGTACATCGGTCATTTGATGTACATCATAAAGAAGCGCTGAACATCGGACCCTGCAATGTACAATTGATGTCACAACATTTGATGTGCATCACCTAATTTTAATGTCCATTAACGATGTACATTATTTTAAAGATAATAAACATCATATCAAATTTATATAAATTATGTTAATATGACAATGCTAAATGTTATTGAATAACAAATTATTTATTAAATTACATTATAATAATCTATACTAAAGTCTACTAAATCTATACTAATCTAATTAACCCAAAAATATTAGCTAAATGTTTCTATTAAAAATAAACATTTTATTTGAAAATCTCCTCAAATTCATCCAATAGCATTCGTGATTTATGCTTATTCACAAACGTCAATGACAATACGCACAACATATTTTTGATTCTCCATTAATTGGTTCCACAAGAGCTAGCAGATTCAATCCTACACTAACAAACATTCAGCCACGTGACAGGTTATCTTTGACTTCTTTATGTCATAACAATACGACAATTTCATGTTTGTACTTGTCATCACATGCTCCTGTGCCTTCTCTGTCCATACTGGAGTCGCCATTACCGGCACGTGATCTGAATGTTTCACCAATCCCATTATGGATGGTCCTTATAATGTCGTCTACAACCTACAATAAAAAGATAAAATAAAAAAAATTAATTTAATAAAAAAAGTTTCGAAGAGAAACTTCAAAACTTATTTGAGAAGCCGACCCAAAACTCGAAGATGATTCCTACAAAATAGACAAAAGAAGAAATGGTTAGTTTCTTCAAAACAAAACAGAAAAAATTTAAAGAAAAAAGTTTTGAAAGTAAACTAAACTTTTGAAACTTACCAATCATATCGTCTAAGATCCGGAAGCTCAATCTACCGGTACCTGCAAAAAAAAAAGAAAAAAAAATTAATAAATTAAAAAGTTCGAAAGTAAACTTTACTTTCGAAACTTACAAATCATATCGTCTAAGATCCGGGAACTCAATCTACCAGTACCTGCAAAAAAAAATCAAAAAAAAAATAAATAAATTTTAAAAAAGTTCTGAAGCAAAGATTTGCTTCAAAACTTAACAATTCATTTCAAGACGCTAATCTACAGCAAGGTACTGTTCTACAAAAAAGAAACCACCGAAGCCAGCCATCCAACGTCAAAAAATCCAATCGAAGAAGTTCAAGAAGCCATCATATAAAGATATTCTTAGTTTATTGGTTTCATCTAATGAGTTAGATATCAAAGAAGGTATCAAAAAATTATATTATTTAATCAAAAAATAAATGTACCGATACCTACAAAAAAAATAATATAAAATTTAAAAAAAAATAAATTAAAAAAAAAAGTTATGTTTCGAATTTCAAATTGAAACTTACCATATATTCAAGTTCCAAAGCCGAAAGAATCATACCTACAAAAAAAAACAAGAAAATTAAAAAAAAAATAAATTAAAAAAAAATAAATTAAAAAAACATAAGTTTCGAATCGAAACTTACCAGACCTAAGTCCCAAAGCCAAAGAAACCGGAACTCTACAAAAAAATATGAAAAGAAATGTTAGATTGTTTCTTAAATTAAAAACAACAAAATCCCAACCCTTTCCCATCACTACCTTAAAGTCCGGTTCCATATTCAAGCCGGCGTCCTCCTAGTAGACGTTCTACAAAAAAAAAATAATGAAAAGAAACGTTAGTTCATTTCTTTAATTAAAAATAACAAACCCCCTTTCCCATTTCTCACTACCTTAAAGTCCGGTTTCGTTATATTCAAGCTGGCGTCCTCCTAGTACGCGTCCTACAAAAAAATAAAATAAGAAACGTTAAATAGTTTCTTTAATTAAAAATAACAAACCTTCTCTTCCCCATTTCTCACTACCTTAAAGTCCAGTTTCGTCGTATTCAAGCCGGCGTCCTCCTAGTAGAAGTTCTACAAAAAAAAAATAACAAAAAGAAACGTTAGTTCGTTTCTTTAATTAAAAATAACAAACCCCCCTTTCCCCATTTCTCACTACCTTAAAGTCCGGTTTCGTCGTATTCAAGCTGGCGTCCTCCTAGTAGACGTTCTACAAAAAAAAAATAACGAAAAGAAATGTTAGTTCATTTTTTTAATTAAAAATAACAAACTCCCTTTCCCATTTCTCACTACCTTAAAGTCCGGTTTCGTCATATTCTAGTACGCGTCCTACAAAAAAATAAAATAAGAAACATTAAGTGGTTTCTTAAATTAAAAAAAAAAAATTAAAAAAAAAAATTATGTAAGTTTCAAAATGAAACTTACATTACTTTTAAGAAAAAGAGGCGGAAGAAAAGTGTGAGAAAAAGGGTGTGAGAAAAAGGGGAGAATGAAAGGGGAAGGGAAGGACGATAGGGGAAGGAGTAAAGGAAGAAAAAGGAAGGGAAAGGAAAAAGGTTAAAAAAGATGATCCTTTTTTAAACTTTTGATATGCGTAATGCGTGATAACGTGATGTTTAATTAGTGCATTATTCGACTAACATCTAATCGTAGA